ATTTTGAAACTTCAAATTTATTTATAATGAATCAATCAATGCCAATATACAACGTAGCAATGATAGTTTAGAAAAAGTGTCAGTTTTAGGTTTCTCAATACAGTAGTTACACAGGTAAAATTGCAACATATGTCTGACATGTGTTGAACATACGTTTTACATATGTTCCATAACAGGGATGGGGTAATGGTAATGTGTAATGGTAATTGACAGTAATTAATTACAAATTTAAATGTAATTGAAAGTAATGTGTAATTGGCCCAATTTTCAATTACATGTAATTGTAATTTAATTAATTACTATTGAGAAAAGCATGTAAAATTGTGGGAAGACAGTAGTTTAACACACAATTTGTCAAATACTATAACATTTTGAGATGTATAGCTTAGGATGATGAAAAAAGCAAAGGAAACGAGACAAAACGCATCCATTGTTTTGCATAAATATATCAGAAAGCTTAAAAACGGACACATGAATTAATGGAAAACAGCATCCAGGTCCTGTAAAAGGACCGTGTCTCAGTTGAAAAATTGGCTCTTTTTTCCCAAAATGCAGGTAACAATTCCCAACTGATGACCAAATTCAATTTTTTGATGCTGTTTATATAAAGAAATAACGTGTTTTGAAATTTTGATCATTTTTAGATATGTAGATGGGAAACAAATCTACTATTTAACTCTTTAATCAACAAATAAATATGTCAATAACATTTCCCAATTTTGCCACTTTTTCGATTAAGAATTCACAAAAGGACTCTGTACCAAAAAGGGTAATTAAGCCCTGGAACTTGCTATTAGTAAATATTTATGTATTCCTGTCACAAATACCCAAGTGTAAAATATCTTCATTGTGGCAGAAAAATCTTTAAACCTGATAGAGGTAGGTTAGGGGACACAATATTTTAAAATTTCATTAACATCTACACAATGTTTATTTAATGTAAAAAATAGTAACTGAAACTATATGAATATAAATGAACGTTCATGACTATTTATCATTTTTATTTTTATATGTTTTTTCTAAATGTAATTTGTAATTTAATTAATTACATTTGCAAAGTAATTCTAATTTAATTAATTACATTTCAAAATCCTTGTAATGGTAATGGTAATTTAATTGAAGGTTTTGGGCAAGTAGTTGTAATTTAATTAATTACTTTCCTATGTAATTGACCCCATCCCTGTTCCATAAACATATGTTCTCCATAAAACGCGCACAATATTATCAACATATGTTTTTAAACATATGTTGATTATATGTTTAACATATGTTGCTTATATTTTTTGTATGATCATAAGATAAGCATGCATATATTTATTCTCACGTTTTTCAAATGTTGAGCATATGTTATTTCTATTTCTTACCTTACATTTCTTATATATTACTATTTCGAATTTCTTTGGATTGCAATGTGAAATTTATATTAATCTTGTCCTTAAACGTCTTGCCCTTTTAACACTTAATAATAAGAAATTAAAAGATCAAAATCTTAAGCATTATTCCTTTATTTATTTTTCAAATTTTTACATAATTCTGGCTTCATTTCCCTGACAGTGACTGCATTGCTCCTGAAATGACACCAAAAAATTAATGAAAATTAAGAAGTCCCGATTTCATGTCAAATACATGTGTAATGAATTGATATTTATTAGTTAGCAGAAAAAAAAAATATCACCATGAGCACATAAGAATTTCTTCTCTGGGCCTTTTCTTCATTTTCCAGCCCCTTGGACCATCTTCAAAGGATTTGTAATTATCTCATGATAAGGCACTGGGTGGAGTCTGCAATGTAAGGTTTCTGCTGATGAGGTTCCCGGTAATACAAATTAAACTCTGCATGTAATTTAAGTTAATAAACTGAAGATATTAAGTCAATGAATTGGCTGATGTACTTTGAAAACACATACACTTGTACCTTGAATGTCTGATTAGGTTGAAATTCATTTATCCCCTAGAAGATATTGTGTAGTTTTTAGAGAGCAAGTTCTGTCCTTATCTTACATATTTTTAAAAGTGTGCTGAATTATTCCTTTGAAAAAAAAAGAGTTGAATTATTTTTTTTTTTATTAAGCCAAACAATGTAGAATTAAGAAGTAAAGAAAAATTCTCAAGAAATATCCCGTCATTAAGGAGTCATTACTTGTATATACTGTGATTATTATTCTATGTATAAATTTATTTTTACCTGTATTGTGATCATGCAATCGTAATTCAAATCATCGTCAGTCAAATCTACTTTGGATTCTTTCAATAAAAACGGCACTGTGACACTGAACTCGTTACTTAATACATAATCAAAAACAAACATTCTTCACTAACTTGATGATGGATAACGATCTTAACATACATATTACTTCAACTGCTATACAAGGTTTCTACTTTCCCTTTCATATCGAGATCGTTTATATAATGCAAACGTAACTATTAACATAAAGAAAACAAATCAGTAATGATATATGGCTTTTACATTCATCAGAAAAAAAATCCAAAATTACTTATTGATCACTATGTTTATCAGCTTTTTACGAAATGCATTAATTCAACAATTACATGTTGATGAGAGAACTAGAAAAGTTCAAAACACCTGTATCCGTAATAAATTTATCTTAACACCATGAAATAAAAGTCTAAACAAAAATATCTGGGAGCACTTACTTTTTCCAGCACCCAACACCAAGTCTTCAGTTGCAGCAGTGACGTTTACCATGACGTACACTTTCATCCGATAAAAACCAAAACCGGTCCGGAAATGTGGAATAAGTTTAAATTTACTCATGAAATAAACCCAATCAAAACAGTTTTAAATGAAATACAAATTTTAATTTATACGAGGGTTGATCCAAAAGCAATACTACAAGTGCTATAAAATCTTTTATAATCAAATGTTATCAACAAAATTTCACATACAAATACCCCTATCTATTTTAATTTTTGCCTAAAAATTTCATTTGATTGTATAAAATACTTCTAGAGCTATTAAAATAAACACAACGTTAGGTTTTGTCTGTCGCCGCAAGGCAAGAATGCTACCGGCGCCGTTATGACGTTACTTTTCGGCACTCATCTTCAGTTCATCCGAATATCTTTTTAACCTCTCACCTGCTTCATTTGATAATCTTTACTGCCATTTTGCTATAAACTGTCTTGTTTTGAGTTGTAGTATTAAAATTATTTGAACTTTGTCCAACTGTTATTTCTAAATTTATTCCTTTTTGCGCAAATCTTATGTATCATAAGATTCGAAATGAGTGTCGAAGAGAAACGTGATACAGTGGCTGCAAGGTTATTGTTGACAAGTCACACGAACGATCACGTTACACGAACGATTCCGCACGATTAACGCGCGACAAAATCTGTTACACGAACGATCCTTCACGCACACGATTCTACACGTTACACGATCTTACATGATTGCTAACGCAAACGCACGATTCTTCATGCAAAATAGTTTAAATTCTTTAGGAATGCATATTTTTAAAAAGAAATAAGGCTTAATACTTATTTTAGATTTCAAATAATTATTGCTTTTATTTCATCGACTTTGAAAAATGAAAAAAAAAATAGAAATGGATATTTCTAGAACTAAATACATTTAAGACCTTTATATATTTTAGATTACAAATAATTATTTACATAATTCTCCGACTTAAGAAAATTGATTTTTTTTTCGTTCTATCAGAAGATGTACATGTAGGTGGACCGTGCGGTTTGATTGAAATGGACTTCATAATATGCAGAAAGGGATAAGTTTGTGGAAAAAAAATGGCATGAAAATGAATTATATTATAAGTTATATCCATGTTTCCATTTGTAAATCTCTAAAATCAACAATTATTTTTCAAATCATTTATTTGCAGAAATCATAAAATAATTAAAAGTAAGCTCCAGAGATAAATATTGATAAACGAAACCCGGACAATCATATAGTCTACATGTACATTCGCCGACTAAATATTTATGTAAGCATTGAGAATTGTTTATTATTCATTTGTAAAAATATCTATTTTTAATCTATTGATTTTAAAAATATCTTGACCATAATTAGCAGTAAACATAATTAACATCAGAGAAAAAAATCATTAAACATCTAAACACGGTTTATCACAAAAATCACGCTATTTGACGAGAACACAATATTGCACGACTTGCTATATTGCTTATTTCCAAGCGATAATTAGTTCGTACTGCTTTCAATTATGTTAATCGTGCTTCATTTATCTTATTTGGATTTAAAAAAAAAAGAGAGAGAAGAGAAATGCTTGTATAACAAATAACATTCCGATAAAAACTTACAAAACGAAATTTACACGTTTCTTAAAGCACGATCACGCACGATTAAAACCGCAAACGATTGAGTCTGATACACGCACGATCTCGCAGGTTACACGAACGATCACGCACGTTACACGAACGATTCTACACGATTGGTTTGTCAACAATAACGTTGCAGCCACTGTAACGGCGTCTGCAAATTCTTGCCGTGCGGCGATAGACGAGATCCAAGGTTGTGTTTATTTAAAAAATAAAATGCTTTCTTTGTTTGTTAGTACGGGAATTCACAGTCGAAGCTATTGCAGAAAAAATACATAACCCGCGTAAGCGGGTTATGTAATTTTTTTTCTGCAATAGCTTCGACCGTTAATTCCCGTACTAACAAACAAAGAAAGACATTTTATTGTTTATATTTATATCCGTCTTTCACATTAAGCATTCAAGAATGTGAAACATAGTATTATGCATTTGTTTTGTTGTAAGTTTCAACGATGGAAAAGCCATTGAAGATTACTTCCATATATGGAAGTTCAACGTCATCGAACTAAATCGGTCATCAAAATAGGCCACAGAGTTAAAGTTCAAATGAATAAAATAAGCAACCAAAAATTGATTGTAAACACGATTTAATAAGCTGTATTGAAAAAATTTTCAACAATAAATTGAAAAAGTAATTTTTCAACGTTTTTATTTTACTCCATGTAACTAGGACGCGGAATCTTTTTTTTTTAGGTTGTGTTATTTGGCTCCTGTACAGCGTGGTCATGGTGGTGATGGAAATGGATCTCACAATTCATGAAGGACGAATTCTGAACAAGTGCAGAGGTGCGGGTCGAAGATTTGCTATTCAAAGCAAGGTTGTGAACAGATTGTGATGAGAGACCGGTTAGAGAGGTTGTTGAAGCAGGTACCATAGTTCCATCATTTGCAAGTGGCAGAGGAAATTCTAATTTTGAGGTACCGATTTGTTCATCATGTTCATTTGTTGTAGGGTTCATTATTTTTGACAAAGTGCAGCTAAGATTTTTTTTCTGTGTCGATGAAATTTTTCTGTTATAAGATCTTAAGGAACCTTCATTTTTGTGGTCTGACATATACATTATGTGTCTAGCTTCGTAGCCTTCATCATTGAGATGTTGGATGGCAGTCGCCCTTAAACAATGTCCTTTATATATACGTGAAAGGCAAGCCGCCTTGCTGATATCTTTCATAAAGTTTGAAAATGTTCGTTTGGAAAGGGGGGCATCCATGTACCATTTTGTTGTACTTCTTGGTAGAGAAACTGACTCTGACTTGTATTTGTTGAACAGAGACGAGGCAGATTCATCCGTTTTTTCAATTAGTAGTTGAAGCATTTTTACAGGGCAAGAATCTGCATTTGTAGCATACATTCGTTTATCAGTGTTCATTTCCACATTTCCCAAACCACCTTGGTGATTTTTTTGTTGTATTTCATGGTTAAGTGTAACATATGTACCTGTTTCATCAGTATGAAAAGAGAATGAATCCAATTTCAGTTGGTGATGAAATTCTTGGCACCTAGAAATGAAGTGGATTGCAATATGGAAGTAAACACATTGTCGGAGAATGATGAGGTTAAGCTGCGCATCCTTGAAGTAAGTAATTATTTTCTCCATATCACATTTTTCAATGAGATCCTTGTGCTGTGTAGATTTTGAGGTGCACTCCCTAACACGCTCTTTCAACAAACCATGTAGAACTCCATTAGATGTTTTAAAATCTTTGTCTTTAACAATGTCTATGTTTCTCTTTAGGTCTGCCAGTTTTCGGTTTATAGCTCCTCTTAAGTTTTTCAAAGTATTTTTATGATAAAGTTCCCCATTTTTTAAGGGCCTTGCCTCACAGTAGAATTTCTCGAGGAGACTATTGAGTTGATTTGGTGAGATTGTTTGTAAATCTACAGGTTCCCCTCTTCTCTCAATGCCCCAGTCTAATAGACAAGATATCGTATTATGTATTACATTTTTCTTCATTTTTTTTTTTATTTTTGCATGGAATGATTTTGTTAGATTTATTATGCTGTGTATGAGTAGATCTATTCTCGACAGAAATATTGATATTACATATTATATTCATTTCACATTTGAATGCTGATATGGTGTATTGGTGCACACTTTCCTTTATAAAGAGGAAAGAGGAACAGGTTCAATCCCTGTTGTTGGCAATTTTTTTTTTTAAATTAGAAATGAATAGTAATGCCAATTTCCCATATTTTTTTTTAATTTAAAGTTAGTCTTCATCGCTCTCTTTTATGATACATGTTTTTATGAATTAACACTTTTGTATTGCAGTATTTACATGTATACATCTCATATTTACCTTGAAACATTTTACACGCCCAGTTAGTGTTTTTCTTGGTTCCTGCAGTTTGGCGAGCTTCAAAAATTTTGTTCACTTCTTCATCTGTAGTTTCTTTGAATCTATTGGGCTTGAGCATGTTGAGAGGGGTTGCAGGAGTCTCAGGTTTGGGGAGATCAGATAATGCAGGAATACTAAGGTTTTCTGTGATATTTTCAAGTTTACTACTACACAACATATCTAAATGTTCAAAATCGATTGTCGCAAAGTCGAAATCTTCTTCATTAAAAGAGAATTCATCAAACTCCATTTCTAAATCAAAGTGACCAAACTGATGCTGGCCCTGAGAACTAGCCATTGTAATGAAATATACATCACATTTGCAAACGATTTTGTATATGGTTATGTTAGTAATGAAAAGTAACAAAAAATGACAACAAAATGAACATTTATTTTTCATAATTTATTAAGATTTCGACTGACATGTCATTAAGCACCGTCAAAATACGTTTGTTTACATTTGGAAGTACTTTTAAAAAGTAGTCCAAAGAATGTGCATATTCATACGCGGGCAGATTACTTTGAGAAATGTAGGGTAGGTTTACACCGGTATTACGAGCAATGGATTTTTACAAGAAATAAAGGAAAAAACCTTTGGTGGATGTAAATATTTTACTATTTTATAAAGTATCGCATATATCTTAATGAAATTTTAAGACAAAAGTCAAAATACATAGAGGTATTATTATATAAAGTTTTGTTGAAAACTTTTGATTATTAAACATTTTATAGCAGTTGTTGCATTCCTTTTGGATCAACCCTCGTACTTAATAAATTTTGTTTTCGAAATGCAATGTTCAAGAAATACAAATTTTTAACTTTGTAAAAGGGGAAGGGTGAAGAATTACAAAATCACCCCCACCCCCTTTTTGCAAGCTTCTACAAGAAATGATCATCTTGATTCTTTTAAATAGATATACGTTCAAATTTATCCTGATATATGTTATTGAAATTATTTTTTTAACATGCAGTGCACTTGTTAAAAAACATTAATATAGTGTTATTTATATCAAGCTTAATATGAAATTATTGTTCACTGATTTACAATAAATTAACGTATTTTTTTTCCCTCAATGAATTAAAATAATATGAATTCATATTATGTTAATTTTATTAAAATGTAATTAATATGGATGTGCTTTTACCTGTATAATTTTATTATTTTTTAAAAAGTTTTTTGTTAAGTGTCAGGTAAACCACCTAAGTTTTGGGTTCAGGGAAATTGAGCTGTTGAACATTTTCTTACGTGCAAGTAAACGTATGTTTGAAACAATCAATTCAACATATGTTAAACATAATATGGTAACCACGAACATATGATCAACATATATTTTGAGTCTGCTATATGTTCAACATATGTTTTAAACATATGTTCAACATACTTTTGAAACATATGTTAAATATACTGTGGTAAATTTCTTATGTTCAACGTATGTTCAACATATGGTAATCAAAACATAATCACATAATCCAAAAATTCCAGTAAACTGATTAAAGTATAGTTTTTGAAGTTTAAAGAATTACAAATGACGTAAACGATCAATACATCATTGCGTCATGGTATAAAAGACAAGATTTTGAGAATGGTTGTCCGAACCTCGCCTGGTACAAGACGATCAACAATCTGCACCTTGCACCTGATAAAAACTTTAATCAATGGAACCCGCCCAACGATTTTTCTATAATATGGAGGTATTTTAAGAAAAAAAAGCAGCTGTAATTCTCTTAATATTCTTTTTTTCTATTTTTTTAAATGTCATTTTATGTTAGGGTTTTTGGGATATTTTTGAAACCATATGATAACTTTTCTTTCAATCCTCTTTTTTTTTAAAAATGCATATACATTTACAAACACTATAAATAAATGGAAGTTAAATATTTCTGAATTTTTCTTCTTCTTCTAAATGGTATATTTATAAGTGGATGGTGGGTATCAAGTGTAGTCACAAAAAAAGATATAGAAAATATGTAACTACTGCGTACTACATGTGTAAGTCTTGTTGAATCAAGGGTAAGTGGAGGAATTATTAAATAATATACGTCATTTTTTTAAATTTCATTTTGACTCGACATGATGCAAAGTTTATATAATTTCGATTAGAAATACGTAGCATATAAAATAATTTCATAACGTAATATAAATCTATGATTCCTAAATAAAATGTGGTGTAACGACAGAGTATATCTGAGACTCTAGTTTGTCGATGGCAGTTATATTTTTCTCACTCATTCAACTAAATTGAAAGCAAGGGAGCTAAACGATTATCAGGTATTATGGCGAATGAACTATATGAGACATTTCATGGGAATTTGACATTTGGGTAGCAACAACACACAGGTTCGTAATAGAGATTTAAGTAATGAGGAGAAATTGTGCTCGTTTTGTGTGTAGAAAGTTATCAAATTACGATAGACAGAAAAGGAAGACATCTTTTGCTAGTATTATGGAGAATTTTTGTCTATTTGTATTATTTTTTCCCGATGAAATTTTGATAAATTTTCAAGAATTGATCTCTTTACATCTACAAAGTTATAGTATATGTTTGAATAATTTCCAATTATTCACATTTTTCTCTCGTATTTTCTATTTCATTGGATGTCCTTCTATTAATCATATGACAAATATTGGATAATCCAATTTTAATGGTCTTCAATTCTCTTTTTATTCAGGGTCCCAGTAAAGGAGGATCTTCTTTCTCAGTCTTTTTATTTCAAGACTTTAAATTTTCTTTCTGTAATCAAAAAACAGCTTTGTGTTTGCAACAAACCAGCAAATGGGACGAAGGGAATAAATTGTACATATATCAGTTTCCAAAAGTGTAGTGCTGTGACTAGAGGAAAAGAATATCCGTGTCTTCTTCATGCAAGTAGTGGTAGGCGAAGGATACGTGCAGTTTATATATATCTATCAAATTCAGCGTCACAGAAAATGAAAACTAATGTGGTAATACAAATATATAAACAATCCTTATGAATATTTTATTACTCTGTCAACAATTGAAAAGGTACATGAAATGAATCAATAAAAAATAATCGTTATTTTCATCTATGACTGCTTTTAATTAATGTTTGTTTTCATGTTTTTGTCATTTTAATCTATGTTTTCAATTTATGTTCATGTTTTAGAGACCAAGACTGGAAACAACATATTCTGAAGAGGAATCTATAGCCCTTTGTAATGCTGATTTTAAGAAGTCATTGTCATACCAAAACTGTATTCAAAATATTGCAGAATTTCGTTCCGATTCGATAAAAACTGTATTCTTGATAATCTAGTTAGGTGGAATAAGGTATTTCAAGTTTGTATCACTTACTTGAATAATGTATCACACTCTCCGTTTAAAAACAGTCCCTAAGATTACTTACGCTAACGGAAAAGCGCATTGATTTTCATTGTATCGCATTACATTTCTCATGTAGTCTTTAAAATTGATAGCACACTTCTTTGAAGTAAATCAGATAATTAAAAAATCACATTGAAATTAGAATATTATATCTTAAACTTGAAAACGTTTTGCTGAATGTTGCATACTCCTTCAGTTTTGCTGTTTGATTTGAACATATTTTATTGTAATAATACATACAAAAGGATTGGATACAAGTTCTTTCAACATAATTAATCCTCTCCTGCTGTGATCGGATGAGATCAAAATACATAGTTGGTCTGCTTGTTCCTATAAATTCTTAAATGTCAATAAACGTCTTTAGATCGCTATACCAAAATTTTAGATACATAAACTTTGACATATGTAACGTTTTTGTTTTTTTTGTGTTGTGGGTGTAGACTTAACTAGATGGTAACTATAATGCACGTTACAATAATTGGGTTCGGAGGTATTGGTACACTTAAGTAAATTTAAATAAAACAAGTGCCATCAATTAAAACACAACATTTACTAAATTAATGAGTGGATGTTTAATACAGTATATAGATTATAATATAACGTCCCACTCCGCAGTCTTTATGATGTACAAAAATAATCACATTCAAATGTCACAGTTTCACGTTATATTTGGTGATATGTGCTGCCCTCATAAGGTGCCAGGTACCACCGATGGTACTGGAGGTAATTAGTTCTACGTGTCTGATATTCAGGTGTTACTGATGTAAGCTAATTGGTTCTAAGTTCTATCATTACTGGTGCTATCCTTACTTACTTGTCTTATCTCCGAACATAAATTCTCACAGTGCAAGGTGCAAGCGCACCGATTTTATGAACGTAATTCCGTGCATATTGAAACTAAAATCTATAACTTCTATAATCAGATCTATAACTTCTTGTTATAGACTAAAATAATTCATGTCATTAAAATAAAAATAATATGCCCTGTAAATTTACCATCACTTCATATACAATTCATACAAAAGACATAATTAATTGAAGTACGGTGCATTGTCGTAAATTAGTCAAACGGTGCAACTTTGCACGGAACTATCAATTTTTACTATAAGGGATGATTTGGGGATCGGAAAAAGTCGTTTTTCTAAATTACTATGATTTTGCAGTAGCCAAATCATCTTTCGGACAGTGATTAATGGTGTCTTGTAGATGTGCACTGTGGTTTCAGAATTTTGATTTTCACCCAGGTGGGGGGAGGGGCAAACTGGGGTCGAAAATGATTTTTATATTAACAAAACCTGGTTCCCTGAACTCATATAACTTTGTTCACAGTAGCCCAATCATATTTTAGAATAAGTCTAGGCGTGTCCTGTAGATGTATATATATATATATATATATATATATATATATATATATATATATATATATATATATATATATATATATATATATATATATATATATATATATATAATGAAATTATTGTGGTTTCTTCCCTTGTTACCCAAATATGAAGGTGAGTACATTTAGAGGCAAACACCTAGATGCGGGTATTACTCTCATCACACTTGTAATTATTTTAGAAAATGCTCTTTTTATTGAACTATATTCTACTATTGTTTAGACACACAGAAAATAATTTCATTTGAATTATTTTTATTTATTACAGCAAAGAAAAATCACTGTTCAAAAATGAACACGCCATCACCATAACTACTTTGTTTTATCTGGATTTTAAAAGTAGATTTGTTTTATTTTCAATTCTCCAAATGGTTTAACCAGAATGTTCTGTTCTCACTGGATCCACGTCAAAATCTATAAAAATAAAATGACATTAGGCTTTGCTTTTAATTTGTTGTTCAGTTTAAAAATTCTAGAAAAAAAAAAAACTTTACATAATTTGTTAATTAGTGTTTTTTCTCGACGTTTTTTTTCTTTTCAGTTACTTACAATTATGAGTCGGATCTATGTGTAAGAAGCTGGATTAAACATTATCTTGTTCTTTGTTTTCTTTGTTTTCTGTAGGATTTTGAGTTCCTCCTTCTTGGTTCCACACCTGATAAATTACAAATAAAGCAACAGAAAATACCACTTTAGTATTTGTTATCTCAACACATTGTTTTCAAACAGACATGTAAAGAATGTAAACTTTGTACAGGAGTATTATTTGGAAATGTCAACAGAGCAGTGATTTTAACAATTTTGAGTTTCAATGCGATGGACTGTCAAAGAAATTGACGATGGTTTTTTTTTTAAATAAAAAAAAAATGTCTGTGAGATATTTTAAACTGACTCAGCCAGTAAAATTTGGAACCGGACACATTTTGCTTTGATTGAAAAAAATCTTTCACTGATTGAAAATTAATAATAATAATGATAATAATAATAATAATAATAACAACCAAAAAAGGACCAACAAACCAATTACCACTTCAGGTGTTACAAACGAACTTGTCATTTAATGAAAAGATGTGTTCAATAAACAAAAGAAGTTGTCAAACAGTAGAGAGAATAAATGTTTTTGCCTCATATATCAGTCAGTCATCATTTATCAGGAAAAATAATTTACGATGGAAGAATCCCCACATCATTTTGGGACAATTTAACACAAATTTTAATCATGGAAATTTCACAACACTTGTGATTACTAATGTATCACAACAAACTATGATAATTCGTGCAGGTTTTTGTAACTATGCAAGTCATAACTAGTCAGATATTCCTTTATCCGTTTATCTAATGAACTACATGTAATTGTAATGAACTGTCAAATAGTCATGTACATGTATCTAATAAACTAATTATGATGGGACGCCAGATAGTCCAGCGTGTGTATGAATGATGGCATGGAGCGAATTCACTAATTACAATGAACTATCAGATTTTTCCTTGTCTATATGTAAGTATACTTGAACTATATACTTGCAAAGAACTGAGAGGCAGAATTGTGTTTTTTTATGTACAAGTATGTAATTAATTATCAAATTACAATTATCTGTCGGATAATCAAGTTTCAGTAGAAAGATTCTTCCTATATGTATATACTTTATAAAAAGTATTGTTTATGTATTTTAGCGACCATTTCAATAGATTTATAATCATATGTAATAACTAGATTTCAGAACAGTATTTTATGACATCCAGTCTTTCCAGTCCTTATTCTTGAATTTTAAGTGAATAAAAATAATATTTCCGAGTGAAAATTGCATGGCTTATATTCATTTTCTTTTATCAACTAGAAATTGTACTCTAACTAAAATTTTAGAGTATGAATAATCTAAACAAGGTGATGTCTTCATTATGCGTAAGTAAGCTTTCCCTACAATTATCTTTAAAATGAAGCGAAAAGTTTTTATTTAAATGTCATAACCACAACAAACTACGGTAAACCAAGTTCATAAGCTAGTAGTCACTTTTTAAATTGATAAGAAGTTTGCATGCAAGTTTTGGTGTTGGTTCAAGGTGGTTATGACATGTGCAGGAGTTGCCAAACGCACCCACACTCTGGAGTTTTCCCATTGCCCTAATGCTAATAGGGGTCGATAGTACATCACTTTGTGACCCCATTTCATAACAGATACTACAGAATCATTAACCAAATAAGATCTATCAATAAATTAGATTTTTAGTATGATGATTGAAGCAGTTTTTAAGGGGGAAAATATTACTTGAAATTTTAATGTGGTTGTAAGCCGGAAAACGGCCTTATAGAGAATGGACCTTTCTGAACTCAATGGGTTTTTGTAATAATTTTTCTGTGCTCTTAATAAGGGCAAACGGTCAAAAACTGTGTGTATTAAGTACTTTTTCCCCTTAAAAACTAACTTTGACATCAATAGTTAGGGGATACCAACCGTTCTCCCAAGAAGCAAAGAAATTTGGTGTTGAGAAGTTCAAGCTTTAAATGTGCCTACAGATGTGAGGTGGGGTTTATTTAAGAAATAATGTATCATTTTTAAACATCTATCGAAGGGCTTTATGGTAAATTTGATCTCGTACCAACCCGTATTTAAATCCCGATAGATGTTTAAAAATGATACATTATTACTTATATTTACATTTATGACTTATTCATATTTTATGTTTTCCTGATTATAATCTTTAACGAGTGAAATGTTTTATTTTTCAAACTCAACGGCACGTATTTGATCCATTGATTGCGCGTCGACCCTTTATGACGTCACTGAGAAATTACGTCGAACGTTTATGACGCGAGGAACCCGTGTTTATACGGATATAGATACGCGTTGCTTTTAATAGTGTTATATAAAAGAAAACGTTTGCAAATGTAAATATTTACTATTGTGACAACTCCACTCGGTTTGTTTACTATTGTGAAAACTACAAAGTTTAGATATGATAATTTTGTTAAACAAGTCTAATTTCTAGATTAAATTAAAAAACGTATTCAACATATTCTAGTGACACCAAACATCTGTGTGGTAGTTTTGTCTAACTCCCTTTTGGAATTCTAATTCAAAGAATTGCAAAAATAAAATATCATGATACCAAGATATTTTAAACCAGTAAATGTAAAGAGATGTAAGCCTTCGAATAAAAAAGAGCTGTAATTTGAAACTATTCCAACTATTCCAACTTTGCTTTTTTTAATATAAGAATTAAGAAGCCAGACATTGCAATTTTTTAAATAATCTGGCACTGCCGACACCTAGTTAGTAATATCTATATACGTACAATGAAAATTGAACTCATTCTTCAGATTATGAGAGATACAAGATGAATCCGTTTTAAGATAAAATTCCCCATATGAGTTAACAGTGTTTAAGTAAAATTAAAATAAAAATTCTAAACATTTCTGAGCACGTTGAATTAGCTAACTACCTTTGAATTAATACATCTTTTCGAGTTACTAATTATATTAAAGCATCCCCTGCCGACCGGTTTGTTCCATAGTGTTATATGCCAAACAGAATCAAATGCTTTCTCAAAACCTATGAACGCACAATGACAATAACGCCTAGAATATGTATACCCTTAGGAATGCTTTCACGCAGAAAATCAACTACATGTATCTACAATATACCTGTCCCACAGTCCTGTCTGTTTATGTATTTGTATATACACACTCTGTTGTCGTCTGATCCAACCCACAGGAGGTGTGTATTGTCATTATAACTCAGGCACCGTGGTTTGCATATCGATTGCTGTTGCTGTGTATGTATCTGTGACAGGAAGGTACCGTCCTTGTCAAGAATATGTACTGTGCTGGTTATCCAATCACATATCAGGATGTGTGACATCGCGTCCGTACAGATCCCACGTGGATCGAGTCGTGAACTAGATGAAGGTCCTGTGTAGGAGAAACGATATTTCCCCCCTCGCTCTGTCACCACTACTGCACCTTGGATATAATCAAGAAAGTCAGACACAATTACATCTCCATTGTGGTTCTCTGTGATGTATCTAGGTGTCTTAAACAGTCTCCCTCCTTTATTGTTATATTGTATTGTCTGTATGTGTTGTCCTGTGCTATTGAAACGGTTGACTTTGCCTGTAGCTGTCCCCACCAGTATATCTCCATTTAAATGGGAACAGAAGACACAGCGTGGTTTCCATGTTTCTGTTTGCTTCATAAATATAGAACTTCTTCTGTTATCTTTAGATAGTTTTCTAATGTAGTCTTTGTTGTCTATATAAATAAGATCTCCTTTAATACTTACTGTGTGTGCTCCATAACTCCATTTATAAATTGTTATGTCTGTCTTAGTGTGTCAGTAGTGTAGTCACCTTTTGTGTTTGTCAAAATAAGACTGTTATCCCTTAAATCACTGATCCAAACCAGGTCGGATGACATACAGGAAATTTGCATTACGCCGCTTACATCTTCCTGTGTGACCGATCTTTGTAACACAGGTGTAGACATCATTTTCAGTAGACATTCATATCTTACTTGTCTATTTCCCGTCTCTATGATTTGGATTTCACTCAGAAACTTAATTACCTCTTCCATGTTGAGTTCATCAGAGATCATGGGGCGTTGTATAGTATCCTTTATCATGGGAACACGAGTTTTCTTTAGAAATAAGAGAAATTTAACCGGCATGTTTGCAGACTGTTCAAATCTATATTCGTAGATATCAATGCTGGCAATGTGTCTGTTCAATTTTCTGACATGTGCTATTTTATCTAAAATGTTCTTTTGTCTGACCTCATCATTACATATCATACCTTCAATAAGGTTTTTCATTCTCTGGGCTTTTGTTGACATCACTGACTGACAGTTTGATTTTTCCGTTTGAAGATTTTTCAAATCAGTTTTTATATTTGCCAAGAGAAAATAGCTGTTATACAGAGTCTCATTTCTGATGTTGCGAACGATTTCTCTGTGCTTTTCACGTTTTCTTTCACAAGCTGTTTGCATGTCTAGTATTTTGTGATATTTGTGTTCTGTGCATTGAACACAGACAGGTAGTTCACAGAAATGACAGTATTTTTCATAAATTCTGTCTGGATGTCTCTCACACGTCTCTTGTATTAGGATGTTCTGATATTTCTCCCGGTAAATCACAACATCATGATCCATGGTATCTAGATCAAAATCATGTCTTTCTTTACACTGTAGACACATGTTACATTTACACGTGTTACAGTAGAATTGTTTGATTCCGTGACATTGAGAACGTACATTAGACTGGGTGCTGAATCCTAGGTGGATGTGAAGGGTCTTTGGTTTACGACCAACCACTTCATTATGGTGTTTAGCGTATAAATCAATATGTCTCTCTCTACATTGTAGACACAGGTCTTTTTTACACGTGTTACAATAGAATTCTGTGTCTCCCTGACATTGAAAACACCTTTTTACTTTACACTGGATGCTGAATCCGAGCGCTTTCATGATGTGGAGAGTCTCTATCGTAATGACAATCTGCTAAAATAAAAAAAAAATATCTGTGTATCTATCTATCTATCTATCTATCTATCTATCTGGATTAAAGGGACAAGTTATTCGATTTCGAATGAAATGGATTGATGAAGGAGAAAAACCAATCAAATATTTTAGTCAGTTAGAATATAGAAATTATATAATTATATCATTGTAAAAAATACCCAGAATAGAAAAAGAAAATGGTGCCCTTAATTCAGAACAATATGACACTTTAAATGGAACTAAAATATTGTTTTCAAAATCTATATAAAACAAGATGAGTTTGTGAAACACTGATGTCCCCTTATGACAGCTTATTACAAAGGTTAAAGTTTCTCAAATTCAAGTCAGATTCAAAGGTAAATGTCAAGAGATCATAATCTGTTGGTTCCCAAAGAAATGCTTTGTCTCAAGGAATATAACTGTAAAATATGAAAGCCCTAGCACCAATCGTTAAATGTTATGGCAAAGGTTTAATTTTTTCAAAAGTAGCTTAAACGTCAAGATCAAGGTCAAGTGTTAAAAACTTTTGGTACCCAAGGGAAGGTCTTGTCACAAGAAATACCCCTGTAAAATATGAAGCCCTAGTTCTAACCATTCAAAAGTTATGGCCAAGGTTAAGTTTTTCTCAAAAGTGGGTCAAACTCCAAAGTGAAGGTCAAAGGTAAAAAAAAAATACAGAGAAAGGTCTTTTCAAAAGGAATACACTTGAGAAGTATGAAAGCCCTAGCACCAATCATTCAAAAGTTATGGCCAAGGTTAAGGCTTGGTGTACTTTTGCAAAAGTGGGTCAAACTTCAAGGTCAAGAGGTCAATTGTTGATACCAAAAGAAAGATCTTGTCACAAGGAATAAACATGTGAAATATGAAAGCCATTGCTCCGACCAATCAAAAGTTACGGGCAAGGTTAAATTTTTTGCGGACAAACAGACAGACTGACAGGCAGACGGACGAAAGTCAAAAACTATATGCCCCGACTCGTCGATAACGGCATAAGAAGTGAAATTCTATACGATGAAAACTACAGTGAACAAGCTGATTCAGAGAATTTGCGTTCCCCACTTAAGGAAAAAGAAGAGCATGCACAGATATAAAAAAAAGGGGGGGGGGGTTCTCGGACATACTGGATTTTCAGAATTATTAAATGTATACATGTATACTGAAGCAAATAGAAAATGCCAATACGGGTATATAGATTTGATTGATTATATTTAATATGTGTATAAAGGATTCTTTTTACATAAAATATTTATCACACTGCAATAATAATTTTATGAGAAGATTGTATACGCCAGACGTCATACCTTCGTTTCATATGTTGGATACCGTCATTCAGTAAATAAAAAAAATCCCAGAAAAGAAATGCAGACGGACGTACGGACAGACCGAAATTTATATCCCCCACTTACAGTGAAGACGGGAGACAAAAAAATCACGGGATCGTCCGTTATTTGAACCCAGGACCTCTCACATGCTCAGCTAGAATCATACCCCTAGATCAACGTGGCACTTGCTTATAACAAATCATATACAAACATTAGGTCACATATACATGTTTATATTCACGTTCGATATTGTCAAAATTTTACGCAACACATGGTGTCTAATTTAGCCTTTACTAAACAGTTCTTTTAGATGTAATTAGAATACAAAATCCAACGACAACCTGTATTATATGTAATAAATCTACACATGCTACTGTTCTAAAAATAGTGCAATACAAAGAAAAAAAAAACGGGGCGGGAGACTTTGAAAGGGGCGAGGGAGGCCATAGAGAGTTATGGTATAAAACGTAATTGCAAAACCTCAAAAGCTTCTTGGGAAATCGCCCGGAAAGGAAAGGGTTACACACAGACAGAATTAATAAATTTACTAACTTGACATTTGACCCTTTGACCTCAAGATCAATAGGGGTCTTCCTTAGGACACAGGAAGTTGTTATGTAAAATTCCTTTGCAAAGCTCAAAGCTTCTCGAGATATCGCGCGGAAACGAAAGTATTATAGACAGAAAAAAATATACAGACGGACAGACAGACGAACGGACGGAAGAAAAAAAAACGGGGCGGGACACTTTGAAAGGGGCGAGGGAGGTCATAGGGAGTTATGGTATAAAATTTAATTGCAAAACCTCAAAAGCTTCTTGAGAAATCGCCCGGAACCGAAATTAATATCCCCCACTTTAAGTGAAAGCGGGGGACCAAAAAAAAAAAACAAAAAAAAAAACGGCATCGTTCGGGACTTAAACCCGGGACCTCTCACTAGCCCAGAAAGAATCATACTCCCAGACCAAGGAGGCACTTGAATGTAAAGAAAGTTAAACGCAAACATTAGGTCACATATAATTGTTTACATTCACGTTCGATATTGTCAAAATTTTACACAATGCATGGTGACTAATTTAGTTTTTACTAAGCAGTTCTTATAGATGTAATCAAAATATGAAGTCCGCCGACAACCTGTGTTATATGTAATAACTCTCCACATGCAACTGTGCTAAAAATAGTGTAATAAAGGGCAATTCAATTAAAAAAAAACGGGGCGGGACACTTTGAAAGGGGGTGAGAGAGGCCATAGAGAGTTATGGTATAAAAATTCATTGCAAAAGCTCAAAATCATCTTGAGATATCGCCCGGAAACGAAAGTGTTTCGCACCGACAAAATATATGAATTTACAACCTTGACATTTGATCTTTTGACCTTGAGATCAATAGAGGTCTTCCTTAGGCCACAGGAAGTTGTTATTTAAAATTTCATTTCAAAAGCACAAAGGTTTCTCAAGATATCGCGCGGAAACAAAAGTGTTAAAACAGACAGAATTTATGGATTTAAGAATTTGACCTTTGACCTTTTGACCTCAAAATCAATAGTGGTCTTCTTTAGGCCATAGGGGGTTGATATTTAAAATTTCATTGCAAAAGATCAAAGGCCTCTCGAGATTTCGCGCGGAAGCGAAAGTGTTACAGGCAGACAGAAATACAGACGGAGGGACAGACAGACGGATGGACGGACGGACGGATAGACTGAAATTAATATCCCCCACTTTCAATGAAAGCGGGGAACAAAATTAGCAGAATAACATTATATCCCTTTAATGGTTAATTACAATTTCAAATTGTACATAGAATAAATGCTAAATGTTATCTTTATAAGTTAAAATTAATAGATTCACCTCAGTGAAAATGATATTGAAACTATTGATAATCTTTTTGTTGAACACTGTTTTGTTAAAGAACTTCGGATTGAGATTGGGCAATGGGTCTTGCAGAAACTTAACCGGCCTTTTTGTTTTAATAGTAAATCAATTAAACTTGTTTGTTGAATTTACAAAAAAAGACCTATAGAAGTTTGAAATTCTTCTAATTATGTTTATTAAACAGTTCATTTTTTCAAGTAAGCTCACGAAACCAACAAAAATTAAGAATTGAGGATTTAAAACGTACTTACTGATAGAATTAGAACTGGAAAGTTTAACTTTTAAGAAATTGCCGATTTGAAGAATTTAGAAAACACTGGTAGGAAAATGATGAAAAACTGTAAAAACTAAAATAATAATCTATATGTATTGAAAGATTAGTGCCCACTTCTCTCCCCCTCTCTCTTTCTCAATCTATAAAAAAACCTTTCACACTCTTTTTGATATGTATTTATTTATATTTGATATTTATATCATGTATATATTTGTGATTGTTTGTATTTGTGATTTGTGTGAAGGTACAATGATAAAAGAAGAAAATAAATATAGACAATTTGTATTCCTGATATAGATTTCTTATTTTTTTTTTTTATTTTTTTTTTATTTTTTTATTATTATTATTATTTTTTTTTTTACATTTTACCTATATTTATGCAGAATCTTGACACTTGTTTTCAGATGAATAATCAGTTGCATTAATCTCATATTAATCATATCAACAACTTTTTATCGGTTAACAATATTCGT